AGTTGCTCGCAATTTAAGTTTCTAATGCCTTAACATAAAACAAGGGTCGATCGCAACAAACTTTATATATATACATATATATAGAGAGGCCGAACAACGTTTCTAGCCATAATAAAAGTCTTTACCAAAAGACCAACGCCAGACTCTCACTATCTAACTAAACACTCTTGGGCATGATTTCTTCTTCAACTTCTCCGCCAGTCCCGCACTGGGGCTCCGCTTCCTTCTCAATTTCGTCCAGCTCAGCGTCAGGTGTAGCCAGGCGTGAAGCCCTTACTAATCACCGGCAGGTCGATGTCGATGTAGTAGGAGCAGGCGATGGCGAACGCACGATGGACGATGGTGTGCAGGGCCTCCCTTGTGAGCGCGCACGCCCGATCTGGGATCTGGGTAACCCGGACTACGAGCGAGCTCGTCTCCACGGTCGGGGCGACCCTAAGGTCGTCGAAGACCACCCCGACAGCAGCGCGCAAGGCGTCATGGTCGTCGCTCTCCGACTGGAGTTGACCCCACACCTCAGGGAGTTGCCTCTGTTGGGCTACCCAAGTCGAACACCAAAGAGCGTCAGAAAATCAACTGCGAACGTCAAGCAAAAAGGATACAAGAGCCTCACCTTTCACTTGCTCCTCGAGGACCACCTTCTCCCTCTAGAGCGCGCCAACATCCCTAGCCAAGGCGGCAGCCAGGCCCTCGGCTTCTTCCTTTGACTTATGCTCATTTTTGAGCGTGTGCCGAGCAAGGTCGAGGGCGAGGCGGAGTTGTCCAAGCTCCACGGCATCTTCCCCAGCCTTGGCGACCACAACCTTGAGCTTGTCCTCGGCCTCGTCGGCATGTTGACAGGCTTCCCGTTCCTTGGTCTAGAAGGAAGCCCCTAGACCTCCCTCTCATGATGGAGGAATAGGGACTTCTTCCCGGCCGCGCATCGTAAGGGACTGCGAAAAAATCAGGTTAGAATTATATAAAGAGGGCTCGAAAGTAGAAAATGTGAAGCCACGACAAACCTGGCCAGCCGGGGTGATGTCATCCTTCAACACCCCAATGCATCGGTCAGAGAGCGGACTATGGACTCAAGTAACGAGCGCATGCTCGTCCAGTCCTTCTCCTCCACCGAGTCATCGAGGGTGAACACCGAGTCGCTCGGGTCCAGCCACCTGTCCCAGTGGAGCCGGTTTCCTCCCCACGCGAGCGGATCATCGCCCGGCCAGACAAGGGACCGAGAGGGCCAAGCCCCAACTGAGGGGTTGGCCATGGCAACAGTCGGTACCTCCTCCGTCACCGACGCTCCCTCGGGAGTGGACCCTATGATGGCAGAAGAGGCTGGCAGCTCGGGCTCCGAAGCCCAAGCTGTCGCCACATCTGCAGGGGACGCCTCAGTCGCTCCTCCACCCGTCCGCCCTGCCTTGGGCAGATCGACCAGCGTGGGCGCCGATTCCACAAGCGCCTCCCACGGCACAATCGGTGCCTCCGCCTCCCCTGCTTCCTCAGGCGTCGCCGTGTCTGCCTCGGTGCCATCATGGTGTGCCCCCGGCACCATGCCAGCCACCTCCTGGGGGATTGGCCGACGCCCTAGGATCTTCTATGTTACCAACGTTAGGGGTCTACAGGGGCCAGTCCTGTGGAAAACACCAACGTCACACAACAAAATCCGAGAACACAATGAAAGGACGATGAAGTTGTTAACTCACCTCGACGCCATTACCCGAGATTGTTTCGGGGGCTGGCCGCTTGACTCCAACTCTGCCACGTCGGCAATTGGCCACTTCGATCCCTCGGTGGGGTCGGTCAGAGCAGGGAAGACTTGCTCCGCCAACCTCAGGGGCGCATCCTCCCCCATCGATCTTAGAGGCCCATCCCCTTTGGTTTTCGTCGGGGCGTGCTGCGGAATCGGGGTCAAGTTTACTTGCCCCGCGTCGGCCTGCTCATCCTCGAGCACAAGCAGGCCCCATGGGATGTTGGGGTTAGACTCATCCTCCTCCTCTTTCTCCTCATCGATGTTGCTCTCCTCCGAGCCTTGTCGGCGCCTTCCACTCTGTAGCTTCACTTGCTCCTTCTTCACCTTCGTCGCCTCAACCGCGACGCGGTTCGTCGCCCTCCGCGTCGCATCCTCTGGCAGCGGCTGGTCAGAATCACGGGCGATAAGGCTGGGCTACAAATCCTGGTGCTTAGAATATGAGAACAGAGGAGGGTCGGCTAGGGAAAGAAACTCGAAGGCTTACCAGTTCGACGAACCCCGTGCTCGGCCACATCGCGGGATGACCCGGGACCGGGTACACCAGGGCGAGATCCACCGATGGATCCACCGGGCACACCATCCCTTCCTTGATGCACTGTGCCATTTTGCCGATGCTAAGGGCCTCACCGGCAACCATCACCGTCCCTTCAGGCGTGGAATCCGGCGCCATCTTGTACATCGAAAGAGCACGCGCCATCAGCAGTGCCAGCCTCCTCACATGGTACGCTCTGATGACACCAATCCCGCAAAGACCGTGGTGCTTTAGAGTCACGAGGGCCTTGAGAAGGTCACCAAGCCTCTTCTGCTCCTTCCCGATGGGCCCGTACCTCCACACTTTTGGCGCCTTCTCGATCAGGCGGCCGCTGAAGATCGGCAGGGGCGCGGCATCGTCGTTCCTCAGGTAGAACCAGAGCTTATGCCACCCCTTGTTGGACTTCAACAACGGGATGGACATGTACTCTGATGCTTGGCTGCCCCGAAGATGGATGCTCGCACACCCCATCAGCACCAACAGGTCCGGCTTCTTCTTCTCCTTCTTCTGTAGCTCGACGGTGAAGAAATACTTCCATAGCTCAAAGTGGGGCTCGATCCCCAGATACCCCTCGCACAGCACGACGAAGGCCGAGATGTGATGAATCCCATTGGGATTCATATGCTGCAGCTCGAGCCCGTAGTAGTACAGCAACCCTTAGAGGAATTGGTGGGGAGGAGTTGCGAACCCCCGCTCGTGCAAGGGGATGAAGGAGACGACGTAGCTATCATGCGGCGATAGCACATCCTCACCACTAGGTACGATCCACTCCATCGCTGTGGTCCTTGCGCAGAGAAGGCCTTTCTTAACTAGACCCTCCATACGCGCATGGAGAACATCGGAGCGAGGCCACGGTTCCATCGAGGAAAGGGGATGGCAATGCAGAAGATCCAGCGGTGGCATAGGGCTGGAGAGCAAGAACTTCACCAGCGATGGAGCGGAAACAGGGGAACAAAGGCAGAAAAGATTGGAGGGGTAAGGATGTGGCTGCGCGTACGGAGGCTGGGGAGAAACTGCCTCATTTATAAGGTAAGGGCAAAATAGACGAGGGGCGAACCGTCCACCTAAATTAACGCGCCCCATGCCTCGGCAGATCTGTTTCCTTCGGGGCTCGTGCCCTCATTATTTCATGCCACATCAGTCGCATCGCTGCCTTGAGTGATGAACGCATGCCTATTTCAATCTTCCCCATGAAGGATCCGCCGGGCAATGGTTCGACTTCAAAGGCTATGGGCCGCTGCAGGTAAGTGGGATACGGAGCTAAAAACGCTCCTACAGCCCATTAATGCCTAGGAGTTCAAAGGCTGGCCCACCAGTGGATTCACGGCCTCTCTAGGGCACCCTAGAGTGAGGAGAGGTTAAGGACGGGCCCGCTAGCGGCCAATACCCGAGGCACGCGAAGCGCCACGGGCGTCCCGACCCTCGTTTCGAGTCTTGAAAGATGCAAGGTCCATGGTTTTTCTTCGAAGAAAGGCATCGAGCCCTCGGACCGGTCGAATGGATCCGAGAACTATATGGACCGGCCGCCAAGAATCTGGAGTCACCACCACCGATCTCAAACCGGCCCCTCAGGGGGATGTCGGGCTCCACTCGAACAAGCCCGCTAACAACTCACCGAGCACCGTGCTCCGTCCAACGAGGAAAGCACGGCACGGCTCAGCCCCTCCGTTCTAGCGAATGGACGCATGAGGGACGAAGATCACAAGATGACCCGACCCCCCGAATGGACCCCTGCAACGCGCGGGGGCTCGAGGGACGACGATCGCAAAGAGACCGAACGCGCGGTCGCAGACAAACGACGAGTCACCTCTGGTTGCGCCCTCAAGAGACAAAATGCAAAAAGCCTTTTGTAGGAGTGTCTCACTCCTCCAAAGGCTCGGGGGTTACACCCACCGGCTACGCTCGCGCGCACCAATTGGCGAATTGAAAAATCCCCCAGGCCATTCTACCTGAATCGCCTAGGGGCTCGGGGGCTACTGTCGGATATCTGTACCCAGGTATCCAAGCCAAAGGATTAACGAGCGTCATGTCGGCTCATCCGATGGTTAAGGACGCAACTGCGACCTCGTCTGGCTCCGAGGACTAGGTTTCCGCCTCGTTCGACCTCCAGGGGTCGGGCCGCGCCTCGTCCAACTCCGAGGACGAGGTTTCCGCCTCGTCAGACCCCTAGGGGCCGGGCCACGCCTCGTCCGACTCCGAGGATGAAGTGTCCGCGTCGTCCAACCCCAAGGCATGGGCTCCGACTCGTCCGGTCCCACGGGGAGGGGTCCGCCTCGTCCGACCCTCGAGGGCCGGATTCCGTCTCGCCGGGCCCCTAGGGTAGGATTTCCGCCTCGCCCGCTCCCTGGGGTCGGATTTGCTACCGGACAAAAGCAGTGGCCCCATGGTAACTCCTGACATGTACTAGTTACCTCCTGACAAAGCATCTGTCAGTACGGGCGATAAGGACGACAACAAAGACTGGTTTAAAAAATATGCATGCAGCTTTGAATGAATGTAGGAAAAAAAACTACGGTACATGTTGCAGTCCAAAACAAATGATAGTATTTTGAACTATGCCTTTTTCTGTAGTCGTGGACATTTTCCATCTCAGGTAGATGCTTCAGGAAGGGGTTAATAATTGCTATACTGGATTGATATTAGTGTCATACGAATGCCAGGCATCAATTAATTTCGTTTTTCTAAAGTTCTATGCATCATTGCATCTTACTGCTTAGAACAAAATAAAGCCATGAATTAACTCTGAAAATAGAATGCAGATTTGTAATCCATATCCACGAACAATTATATTATGTTATCACATATCCTTCTTTAATATATAATTATATATGTTTTTGGAAGAGGTTGGTAGTACTAGTGTCAGGAATGCCAGGATTATCAAGCATTATTGTACTGTTTTTCATTATGGTAACATAATTACACCCAGGGTCTATTACCTGGAATGGACCAAATATCTCCTTTGTCACAAGCTCGAAGTTCCCACTTTTTAGAATTTCTTCTAGAGGAACAAACACAGCAGTAGGCTTCATGGCACCATAAATTTTGGGAATTGAGTGATTCGCCAGCGGTTCACCACCAAACAGAACCTTCGATCCTGGTATTTTGAGAAGGTTGTGCATGTGCTCTATCATGGCTTCTGTAGTAACCTGGATCAGAAAAGATCCATGATATTAATTAATTCTAAGAAACAGAAAAAATGTTTATACCACTAATCCAGTTCTAACCATATAAACAGTTGAGACAACAAAAATAGTGATGACTAGCTACATGTTCTTTTTTTTTTCTCTCCACACATTTGACCTTCTACATGAAAACCTGTACTGTGCAAAGGCAATTTCCTTTGCCTTCTCTTCTTACACACTACCTGATGTCTGGATCCTCACATCTATTAAAATAACAGGAAAAAATATTATTACCTGATTCCATTTATTGCTTGATTAAGTTTTTAACTACTATTTGTTCCCAAAATGACACCACACCATTTTAGTTACAAAGAACAATTTGTGATTACAAATTTACAATCCAGAATTGTCCACTTAGTGTAAGAACTGGACCAATTGTTAAATCTTCAAGCTTCCTTCTTTCAGAAAGTTTCTTCATTTTCTCAAGCAGACCACTAGAAGACCAATTCTGCAAGTGGAAGCAAATTATACAACAAATAAAGAAGAAGCAGAGTACTTTGATTGTAATTTAAAATATGCCAAAGGGCATTGTAAGATCTTAAATAGCTTCCGTAGTTCATTAACCTACAATAGCACATGCATCCACAATAACTGTCATCCGCTCCCAGTCCCAGCTGTTGATGCCTTTTCTTTTCTCTTTTAATCCTCTTGATCAGATATATAATGTCGGATATCTGTACCCGGGTATCCGAGCCAAAGGATTAATGAGCGTCACGTCGGCTCATCCGATGGTTAAGGACGCAACTGCGACCTTGTCCGGCTCCGAGGACTAGGTTTCCGCCTCGTCCGACCCCCAAGGGTCGGGCCGCGCCTCGTCCAACTCCGAGGACGAGGTTTCCGCCTCCTCCAACCCCTAGGGGCCGGGCCACGCCTCATGCGACTCCGATGTCGAAGTGTCCGCCTCGTCCAACCCCAAGGTGTGGGCTCTGACTCATCCGGCCCCACGGGGAGGGGTCCGCCTTGTCCGACCCTCGACGGTCGGATTCCGTCTCGCCCGGTCCCCAGGGCGGGATTTCCGCCTCGCCCGTTCCCTAGGGGTCGGATTTGCTACCGGACAAAAGCAGTGGCCCCAGGGTGGGATCCGAACAGCTTCAACCACTATAGCATGGAGGCACACGCCCGGGAGCACGTCTCGGGTGCGTCCTGATACGATTGGTGGTCCCATCAGGCCATGCTGAGAGACTCACGTCAACCACTACGACGACAAGCCGGCACTGTGCTGCCAACTCCCTGTCTGACCACCGTTCAACGTCAGTCAACCAGCGTCAGTTGACTGGCACTGTACCACCAGTCCCCCGCATGGCTTCTGTCAGGGGACCCTTTGACCATTCCATCTGCCCGGATGGGACGGAAGACAAGAACGGCGCACGACGCCCGCACGTATGTAGCAGCGGCCAATAGGACCGCGGTACAACGCTACTGCCACCACGATCTACAGGGTCGGCGGGACCCATGCGAAGAGGAAGACAGTACATCCCCGAGAGCCTTATTTCTCTTTCTTTTTCCCTCTTCCCTTTGGCTGTAACCCCTGCTTTCCCTTGGCCTATAAAAGGGAAAGCAGGGCGTCCCACTAAGGGGCATCGGATCATCGCACATCACACCATAGGACATCAATCGACCAATAGATCTAGCAGTAAAATCATCGAGCAATCGAACCACAGAGACTTGGGAGCTCCTCCCTCTCTCGCCAGTTTGTAACCCCCTACTATAAACTCAGTGCTGGTAACACGGGCAGCCCGAAACTAGACGTAGGAACATTCGGCCCGAACCAATATAATCCTTGTGTCCTCTTAGCACACCATCCGGGTCAGACGCGTAATAGCGACGTGGGAAGGTATCTCTCGGCATCACCTGCCCGCCCCAGCCACATAGTCAAGGGGGTAGAGGTAGTTTAATTGGTGTCGATGTTGTAGTAGATACATGCAAGGTCAACGAGTAGTGAGTGACTCAACCCAGATCAGCGATCAGAAGAAAACACATCAGGTGATCAGATGTTGACCATGGGCTCGAGCACAACACAATGGCCCGGTGTCGTGATGGTGTAACAATCAGCCACTATGGTGCCACGGCCTAGTGTCAATGGCGGTAGCCCACCAAGATGAGGACAAGCATGAGGAGGTAGGCCTAATTTCTTGCTTGACGAAGATGATGACAACGATGGTGGTTGGATCAATATGATGTGCCAGCTAAATAGTGATTTTACCCCCCCCACACACTGCAAATTAAGCTCATGGCCTTGGGGCATGTAGTGTGGGAGCCAACAATGATTAGGGTTAGAATGTGAACCTAGACTTGTGATACGGAGGAATAGGGTTGGTGGAATAGTCTATTGCCCATAAATAGATTATTATATAGGAGGAGTAAATAGCTTAGGGACAAGAAGCATCTCTTAGAGACAAGGTAAAATGGGACGATCTTAATCTATCATAGGTGGAGATATCCCAGTACCACTCTAACAATATCCATTGAAAAAATAGTATTATTCTTGTACTCGACATGACAAATTTGGAAAAACATTTAGGTTGCTGGAGGCCCCCATATCGTTCATGCCAATGCTTTTTAAATTTTTTTCCATGGGAAGTCAGCGGTCATGATTTAGGTATGGGAGAGGCAAGACATACTTGGCAGAGGGATCTGCTAGCTGCGCTTAAAGTTTCTAGAGTAGTTGTCGGCGCGAAAAGTGACCAACAAGCAAATATTTGTAGTTTTGCCGTGCGTTGTGATCGGATGTGGCCTAGCACTCAATGATACAGGGTTTATACTAGTTCAGGCAACGTGTCCTACGTCTAGTTCCAGTCGGTCGGTTACTTTATTCCTGAGCCCAGGTGCTCGAAGTTTGCTGTGGGGTTACAAACGAGTGGGAATAAGAAGGGGGGTGTTAAAGGTCCGGTCGGGCTCTGGACCGAAGGGCCAAGAGTGGCGGGAGCTCCAATGTGCGCTAAGTATTGGAACATATGCTCTATGTAGCTTTAGAGCTTTAGAGTTCTAAAGTCTAGCAGAGAGAGAGTCGGAACAATGAACCATCCTCCTTTGGGAGAGAGCTCATCCCTTTTATAGGTGAAGGGGATGGCCTTACAAGTAAGAGAGAGAGAGAGAGAGTGTGTGTGTGCGCGTGTGATCCAAAGTCTTGTTGCTCATGCTATCGGGTACAAGCCGGTCGTCGGCGCCCACAATACTGTTTATGTCACACTCATGTGACATGCTTTTACTGTGTTCGCCTGGCATGGCAAATGACGGTGCCCACAACACTGTAAGGCAAATGTCGGCGCCCACAACACTGTTTGGGTTCTGACATGCCTGGAAGGTTGTAGAGCACCTTTCTGACATGTCCTGGGGGTACTGTCCTGTAGGTGTGCAGGGTACGGTCCTTGGTATTGCGGTTGACTTGAGCCTCTCATCTTATCTGCTCTGCCTGATTCTTGGGTCCTCACCAAGAGGGTGTCCCTGGTCGGTTGTTCTCAGTCGGCTCCAACTGTGCCAATCGGAGTTGGAAGCTATAAGCAGAGGTTTGGCGTATTCCCGGTCAGAAAAGCGGGTCAGAGTTGGAAGCGGGCGTCGTCCCCTCCTTATCCAGGCCTTTTGGTCAAAGACTTAATCGCTCTTTCAGCCTACCGTGGGGTTATCCAGGCCGGCCCAGGAGGCACGCATTGTTGCAACGTCGTCTGCTGGGCCGAGCTTTTTACTGGGAAGCGGGCCCATTGGGGACCCTGGGTTTATGAACCCGACAGGAGCCCCCGAGCCCCCGGGCGATTTGGGTCACCTAGGGGATTTTTCGTCTTGCCAGCGGGTGCCCCATGCTCACCAGGTGGGTGTAGCCCCCGAGCCCCCGGGCGATTTAGGTAGAATTGCCTGGGGGATTTTTTGACTTGCCAGCGGGTGCGCGCGAGCACACCCGGTGGGTGTAGCCCCCGAGCGCCCCTGGTGGGTGTAGCCCCTAAGCCCCCGGGCGATTTAGGTAGAATCATCACGGGGATTTTTCATCTTACCAGTGGGTGCGCGCGAGCGCACCTTGGTGGGCATAGCTTTTGAGTGAGATCCGACCCCTTGACATGGCCCCATTCTAGGTTCTAGGCCATCGTTTCTAGGAGCACGAACCCAGTCATCGGGCGTGGCCGAGGGATCAGGCGAGGTGGAGTCGTGGACCCAGACATCGGGCGCTGCCGAGGGATCGAGCGAGACAGAGTCACCAACCTAGGCGTCGAGCGTGGCTGTCGTGCGCGCCGAGGGGTTGGGCGAGACAGAGTCACGGACCCAGGCGTCGGGCGCGACCGAGGGATCGGGCGAGATGGAGTCGCCAACCCAGGTGTAGGGCATGACCGTCGGGCACGCCGAGGGGTCAGGCAAAATGGAGTCGTGGACCCAGGCGTCGAGCGTGACCGAGGGATCGGGTGAGATGGAGTCGCCAACCTAGGTGTTGGGCGTGGCCGTCGGGCGCACCGAGGGGTCGGGTGAGATGGAGTCACGGACCCAAGCGTCGGGCGCGACCGAGGGATCGGGCAAGACGTAGTCGCCAACCCAGGCATCAGGTGTGGCAGTCGAGCATGGCCGTCGGGCGCGCCGAGGGGCCGAGCGACCGGAGCCCCTGAGCCCTGTTGGGCTTAGTGGGGTTCGGTCGAGTTTTGTGCGTTACCCCGTCTGCGGTTTCCGCAACTGGAGAGGTTGAGCTAACGTCGCTTGCCTCGATGGCTTGAGTGACGCGCTCGGTGAGCTCTCTAACGGGTATGTCCGAGTGGAATCTAGGTTCGTTGTTTGTAACGGGGTCGGCATAGCCCTCATGTGGCATTCCACTGCTCCTTAACCCGCCTCCCAGCATATGCCTGAGCCATTCCAGAGACCGACTCAGGTGGCCCGCTGGCCTTCCCTCAATGGACATTCTGTGGGCATGGCTCGAGGTTAGGATCGAACGAGAAGGTCGAGATGACCCTATATGCTTCTGTGCAGATGGGGCGACGACCGCTGGGGCT